TGATCTGCCAAAGAGCTGTTGCCGAGCCGGCGGATGGGGGTGCGAGAGTGGGTTGGGGGAACTGTGACTGAAGTTGAGGGCCAACCTTTCAGCAGCCACCAAATTTGTACAGCCGTGGGACAAAGAAAAAGGAAAGCTCCCAGACGTGGGAAGTGACAACGCGCGGACACAGCGATGGAAAATCTGTGCCATGACTCTAGTGGACGATCACGCCATCTAGCTACCCTATGACTTTACGGCTCAATACGCCCCCAGCTAGGTGGCGTGTCGACTGGCTTCAACATCAGTAGACGAGAATGGGGAGGACCACGGCGCAGAAGGAAGAGGACGTTGACGTTTGCGCGATCGGAATGCAGTTTCGACAAGGGAGTCCCATGTGACGTCTGGTGGAGAAGACACACTTGTACGAAACCGATGAACCACGGTGGGATGATGCAACTCCAGCAACCGAGGATTGAGTTTTGCTAGTGGGGCTGGTACTGTCTTCGTCAGAACACGGACCAAAGACACAGGAACTTGACTCTCAGATGAAGGGAGTCCTAATTCATGGACTGTGAGAACTTCAGAACGAACAGCAACGACACGACAAGGAAGAGAGCACTGGGGAGTATACTTGACAGCACCGACATAGACACTTGGCGAGTAACTTCATCAACTTCTCCTTTTAAACGCTACCAACCCGGAAAGGTGGGCTCAATACCAAAAAGAATAAAGAAAGGAGAACGACCACAGACTAACGATGGAATAGCATTATGAACTAACACGGCATCATTCAAAATATCGGAGAAATTCTGACGACCATCGGCTAGAGCCGTCTTAATACTTCGCTCTAACGATTGGTGGCAAGCCTCATTGATAGCATTGCCCTGAGAAAAATACGGGGATGTCATGACCAACTGACAAGAAAACTTCTTTGAACGAAAGATGAAATCACGATCACACAGCAATGCAAGCGGAGCACTAAAAACAGTAATCCAGCGCGATGAAATGAACGAAATGCAATCATCTGATGTAAGAGGACGGTCAAAAACATCAGCTATGAAACGAGAGCAATACTCAATCAACACAATATAATAAAACACTTTAAGCCCAACTGCACGAGGGCCAACAACATCGACGGACACTAATTCAAAAGGCGCAGGACGAGAAAGAACACCAAGCAAAAAACGAGAACGAGGAACTGCACCGAAACGTTGACAAACCAAACATCCAGCAATGAAACGACCAACATCCTGATGCAGACCAGGCCAGTACACCCAATTCTGCATTCGTCGGCAGACTCCAGTATGAGAACCATGGCACACATAGTGGCCCAGAGTCTGCAAATAACGATGACCCAACTTGACTTAGAAAAAGAAACCAGCAGAACAACACCGACTCAAAACGGCATCCAACAACCGACACAGCTCACTGAAGTCATTTGCATAAATTATAATATTAGCAATGTAGACTGCAACACCACTCTCATACAAATCACAAAAAATACTATCCACCCAACGTTGACAATTTCCAGGAGCTACTTTCAAACCAAACAGAAGAACACAGAACTCAAAAAAGACCACGATGCGTTAAAAAAGCCGTAATTTCTGCTGCACTATCGGACAGTGTGAATGACCAATGACTGAAAAAATGGCTTGAAATTGGGACATGAAAAAACGAGCATACGGAAAAACCAGACTACCAGATGAGCGTCTATTTCTGCATTCCCTCGGCGATCGTGGAGTTCCCTTGTTCGATAAATTGAACAAAAGGGATAATGCTTGACCAATTGCAATCTTCGTGGTAACGCATGCAAGAAAGTTGGAGGTAGAGCTGGCGAGGATAGAAGGAGTCCAACGATATCGCGGCAATTGTGGAAGTCCGTAATTTTTATCCCTTTGGTGTGTTTCTTGGGATGTTGTTGACGACGCACAGCATGACTTTTTCATTCTAGCTTTTTTCTCGTGTTTTTGCATTTCTGTAACTTGAAATAATTAAGTGTCCATTTAATGTGAAATTGTGATGTTTGTTTTTTTGCATGGCCTGCTGTTGTGCGCAGTCGAGGGGTTGCATGGACATTGCATGTACTTTTTCTATCTATATATCTATTGAGCTCAGTTATCATGGACAGTCGGAGGCTTTCCAAGTTTGCGCACTTCCAAGCAGCAGCAGCCTTGCTGCCTCTAATCCCTCAAGATTCTTTTGACTCGGAGTTTTCTGGAGATAGTGTCTTTTCTTCAGCCAATCTTTCTTGTAGCAGAAGTCATTGTCCTGGCGGAGTGAACAGATTTTAAAGTTTCATTGATCCAAGCCTTCCAACGAGCGCAGTTGTGAAGGTCCTTAATGTCGATCTCTTGAGATGTTGACGACGCATAGCATGACCTTCTCGTTCTAGCTTTTTTTTCTCTGACGTGATCAATGCGTTTGATATTCTCAAAACCAACAACGAATTTCGCGTCGCTGCAGAAAGGGAAGCAAGTGGACCAACGAACCAAAGATACCCGCTCATCTAAAATCCAGCATCTAAAATCCCGCATCTAAAATCCCGCATCTAAAATCCCGCATCAAAAATCCCCCGCAATGGTGGACATGCCCGCGACAATCGCGGAACAGGTGGCGACGCGGTTCAAAATCACCATGTCAGCGGAAGAAATTGAGGCGCAGATGGTCAACTTTTAGCCCAATTGTCGTTTCCTCATGCCAAAAAACGAAGTCGAGTTGAGGCTGACAGTATGGCCGAGTGATGAAGTTCAGCTGGGCCCATCATTGTTTCAAAACGCAGATGCATGGACCATAGCGGACACCAACTGTCGACTATGACGGGACGCTCCAAGAGAGCAACGCAAAAACGACAGTCCCATCAATAATAAATTGGAGGCTTGCAATTGGGACATGAAAAAACGAGCATACGGAAAAAACAGACTACAGATCAGCGTCTATATTTTCCCTCAATACTTCGCGATCGTGTTTTTTCCCACAATCAATTCAACAAAATGCATCATGCTTGATGTAATCACTCAGTTTCGCTACTTTTCGCTAGTTTCCTTGTTTTCGCTAGTTTCCTTGTTTTCGCTAGTTTCCTGGTTGGGAATACATTTGCAACTTCGCTCAAATGTCCATAAAGCGTTGAATTCCTCAAATTTCCAGATTGAGTTCATTGATTTGCTCATCAAACAGGCCACTGAAAAACCAAAGAATAATGTTGAATAATAATAAATTCAGACAAAAGAAAGAGAGGTATGAGACACGACAACAACCATCACCACGACAACCACCACCACGACAACCACCACCACGACAACTACAACAATTTCTTGAAAGTAAGAGAGGTCTAAGAAATTAAAAAATTACCGGCAGTCTCCATTGACCAATCGTTTCGCTGCATTAGGAAAGCTGCAACGGAAGCAGCCGCAGTGTTCGGAGAGTTTAAGGAAAATACCTGCAAACAAAAAAAAAATTTAAATCATAGATCAAGTCTGGATTTTAGTAATAATCGACTGACTGCTATGCTCGAAATTTTCACACATTATTCGCGTTACGTCTCACCAACGTCTTCGTTCCTTGAATGGCAGTTCGATTGCAAATCTCATCTACAATGCATGGCAGAAACTCCTCCGATAATTTCACTTCTATAGATGAAGAGAATTTTTTTGGAACTGGTTTAAAATGAGGATCTGGCGCTGAAATAACAAGCGTACAAACAAAATTGATTAAATGAGGATCTGGCGCTGAAATAACAAGCGTACAAACAAAATTGAAGTCACAATTGACGACTTACAAATCCATTTGTATCGAGGTGGTCGAGATGCATCTGATTGTTTGATCAATGATTCATCGTCAATCATCGGACTCAGAGAAACATCAAGAATGAAACTGAAAACAAAGAAAAATGAAAATAAAGAAGGAAGTGAAAACAAAGAAGATCTCACTCTATTGCAAGAAGTCGAGGAGCTACAGATTCCATGATTTCCCGTGTTCCCTCATGAGCCTGTAGAAGACCTGATATCAAGACTATGCTAAGACTACAGAAGCAAGCAGGCTGCTGCGAATGGTCAGACCTGCATCATATGCAATGATTTTATCGCTTACCAAATAAACTGATCCGGGAATAATTTCTGATGGAAGACGAAGCCAAGCTTCTGAGGCTCGTTTCGAATCTTTAGGTTCTTCAGACAAACAGAGAGAAGGATAATTCTTTGAGAAATTCTCATACGCCTCTTTCAACGAAAAAATATTTCGAATCTGTTTGGTCCGTTTCTGAAAAAAATAGTTGAATTAAATGCAAACGAACGTGAGAGTCCATTGAACGGACCTGAAGATTGTCCAATATGGGAACCTCAGAATCTCCATAAATTATAACATTGCTCCCTTGTTCAGATCGAGATAAGAAAGAATCAAGTGCCTGAATCGCTATAAACGAAAGATAAGAAGTGAAAGAAGAAGAAAACTCACAGGTGATGTTAACTGCCCCTCTGATATGAGAAGAACGATACTGTTCCGTGTTTCGAACATCAATTATCAGGGATTCCCACGACTGAACCAAATAAACAGAAAATAAATATAAAGTGAATTGGTCCTTTGTACCTTTTTGTCGTTCCAAGGGGATGATTGAAGCAGATTAAAGAGCTTATGGGAAGAGACGAACTTGACAGCAACAAATCCTGACTTCTCTTGTTGAAGTTGGTGACGAACATCCTTGGTCAAAGCCTCAAAGTCCAATGCAACTGGCTCAGTCATGCTCTCCTCTTCCTAGTCATTTTCTGAACCTGATTTCTTCGTGAGACACCAACTTGGATATGAAATTAACCGTCAGACCGACTTTCCCTGTTTCAGCCCAAGCAGTTTGATATTGGATTCGTGACATTTTGCTATTGCCACTCCTTACGTTGTTTGTTTCTTTTCTTCTCTGTTTTGATCATGTCAAGGTGACCAAGTTTATCAAGCTTTTGTTTGTTTCGTTTGTGTCAAAATCCTCCTCCTTACGTTCCTACGGTACAAAATTCATCATAAACTGAAATCAAATGGCAGCCCCCACGACAAAACAACTTTCCAAGCATTTGTTGGAGCTCCAATGTCCCAAAATTCGCTACGAGCAGCGGAGGCATTTCAGCCACTCGGAGTCTTCGGAAGCCTTTTCACTTCGAAATCGTCTCTTTCGTCGTCAATCTTCGTCGTGTTCCTTTTCAACTGTCAATAACTCTGCGCCATCTGCATTTCCAACAAGACATAAAAGTTACTATGAGGAGCTTGAAGTCTCGACTGACGCTTCAAAAGTTGAAATTCGTCGAGCGTTTCTTCGATTAGCAAAACTTCACCATCCAGACACGGCGATGGAATCGGATCGTGGCAAATTTCAGAAGCTTCAGGTCGCGTACGACGTTCTCTCGGATGACGTCAAGAGGCGGGAGTATGATTGGAAGTCCCGTGGGATATGGAGACACAGTCCATCTGGGAACGACCGTAAGTACAAGGAACAGTATTTCATGTAATTGGGACATGGTGGCTGTGATTGGGACATGGTGGCTGTGATTGGAACATGCCGCGATAGCATGACAGTTGTCTTCTTTTAGCATTGCATCCTGATAGTGAATTCCAGCAACAACGACAAGAGTTTTGGCGACATTGGGAAGAGCGAAAAAAAGAAGGATCAGAGGGCTCCCGCATTCATGAGACGACTTCCCGTTATAGTGAACAAGAGTTGGCAGATATGGAAGCAGCCGAGTGAGTGAAGACGGTTTCTAAATCTCTTTTTCTACGGATGATACAATCAATTGGAGTTCAATTGGAGTTCTCTTAAAATCATTTCCTGTTTTAGACGCGCCCGGCATTTAGAGTATCAACAGCGAACGATTCAACGCTTGCGAGAAATTGGAAAAAAGAGAGAAGCTTCCAGGAGAGAGGTAATGAAATGAGTTGGGAACTTAAGCCTTCCTTGATTTGAAGGTTGTGTTTCAAGTTTGTTCTTATGTCTCTAGGCATATCAAGCCGCACGGTCACGCTATGCAGAAAACATCGAAATCAGAGATGACGACTTCGGCGGGGGTCCACCACATCCAATTCTCCACCGGCTTTTTGCTCAATTAAGGCGTCATTTTGGATCATTGTGGACAAAAGACAGATTTGTAACGACATGACGATTTCCGCGCCTTTCTTAGCGCTCTGCTTCATAACTTCTATGTGTGCTCCTCGACTTTTCTGAGTTCCGCTATTTCTATTTTTCTTTCTTTTAGAAAGGCCGTTATGCAAAATTTTCTCATTTGTAGCATTTGCATTTTCTTCCAAAGACGTGAGTCCAAAAGAAGAAAAAATATTAATTTTTGGGAGTCGATTTGTGCAAAAAACCTTCGACTATTTTTAGTGGGTGTAAATGTTTCCCCTGCGCTGTTGGCCAAAGGCTTGCGAAGTCGAGATTATGATCAGTGAAAGACCCAAACTAAGACATTCCCGAAAAAGAGCCTTTCTTCAAAATAAGACTTTCCCAAAAAGGAGCTTGTCCCAAAATGAGACTTCACACGCTGAGCTCCGGTATCGGACCGGACATCTGTGACTGCGGATTTTTTTTTTTTTTTTTGCAGACAACCATGCATTACCCAGGGCCGCCAGCAACTTCCGTTTCAATCACGGTTCACAATGCAAGAGAACTTCCAGTGCCATTGATTGGACATCAAGACAGTTACGTGAAAGTTGTTCTTGGTGGAAAGGAACAGAAAACGGCAGCCAAACGAGGACAAACACCGGTATGGGAACACACTTTCACATTTAATTACGTTCAAGAAAGCAGCATTAAGTTTGTATTATGGGATCACGTTGCCATCCTTCCCGACGACTTCATTGCTGTGAATGAAATGAGCTTGCTGCCCATCCTGTCGCTTCCAGAAAGAAGGTTTTCTGGAGAATTACATCTCACTCACAAGAAAGGGAAGCCAGCGGGATTTCTTAAAGTGACGGTTGATTTCTATCCAAAACAAGGTAAAACTGTGATCGTTCACGTTGATATGTAAGATTTTCTGCAGATTCTTCACCATCTTCAATGCAATCGACACCTCAAGCATCTCCATCGCCACAAGTTCAGCCTGCTGTTCGACCCGTGTACGTCCCAACGCCGCCAATCGTGTTGCAGCAAACTCCCGTGTTCGTCCCTGCGCAACCAGCTGTCTATGGACAACCACCTGTCTATGCACAACCACCTCGATACCAGCCGGTCCCCCAACAAGCCTACCAGCAACCCTATCCAGCTCAACAAGCGTATCCAGCTCAACAAGCGTATCCAGCTCAACAAGCCTATCCAGCTCAACAAGCCTATCCAGCTCAACAAGCGTATCCAGCTCAACAAGCGTATCCAGCTCAACAAGCGTATCCAGCTCAACAAGCGTATCCAGCTCAACAAGCCTATCCAGCTCAACAAGCCTATCCAGCTCAACAAACGTATCCCCCTCAACAAGCGTATCCCCCTCAACAAGCGTATCCCCCTCAACAAGCGTATCCCCCTCAACAAGCGTATCCCCCTCAACAAGCGTATCCCGCTCAGCAAGCATATCCACCACAATCATATCCAGGGTGTCCACCACAATACCTCTAGTCGCGTGTTACAATGACGTCAGAGTTGTGCGGCATGTTCATCTTTAGGGAAAGCAGAATAGCCATCGACTATAGAAGAAATGAAAAACTGTAAATAGAGGAGAGCGTCAACAAGCTTGAAAAGAAACAAGAAAAAAAGAAAATAGCAAAACATGATTTAAACCTTCATCATCGACTCTGAACTCTAATTGCAGACACTCACAACGATGAACTTCACATCAACATGAACTGACTGTCTGAACTGAATGAAATGACTGGTTGACTGTGTACCGTTTCTCATTAACCGTGAAATGACCTCGTGTAATAATATGGAGGGCTTCGTTTTGATGAGACTCCCTTCCTTGTTGACATCCGTCTCGAAGTAAGTTCTGTGATCAAATCGAGCGATGAAGTTGTTGCATTGACTTCTGGAAATGGAAAATCCGTTACATTGAGTCGCTGATTGAGTTGCTTTAAAAGTGAAAATTCAACTACAAACAAAAATGAGATTATTTCCAGCATTTATCTTCTGCACTTTATGGATATTTTCGCACTTCATCTGGTCGCGTACCTGAGCAATCAAATCCTTTGCAATCTCCGTAATCATAATCACAAGATTCTGTCATACAGAAGCAATCGCAATAACCATCTCCCTTCCACTCCGTCCGGCAATGGGGATAAAAGAATGGCTCTGTCTCATAATCGATTTTTTGCGCGACCCAACAAACTCCATAACAATCTCCAGCATCAGATTCGCAGCCTTCAATGTCACAAGTTGTGTCACAAATACCGTTCCCAACCATTCCGGGCTCGCAGCCTTCAGTACAGATTTTGCAATCTCCCTTGTCGAAACCACATTCTCCGACGTTACAAGTGTAATCACAATCTCCATCGCCAAGCCAAGCATTTGCACATCCAGGGGAACATTGATCTGAATCAGAAATAGCAAAGAATAGAAATAATGTCCCAAAATGAAAGAGAAATGTCCCAAGATTGAAGAGTGCTGTCCCAAGAAACACACAAAACCTACGGGTACAGTCTTCTCCGTCGAAGTTGCATGCTAAGAGGTTGCAGTCGCCATCGCAGTCGCCATTATGCAGTAAAGTCTGGTTGCAGCTCTGCGGACAATTTGAATAGTCGAAGTCTTTATGTTTCGGTAATGGGATGTTGTAATTCGGTTTCTATGGGAAGAAACAAAATCTGAAAACTTCCTCGTTGACGCTGGAATGCCAGTCAAGACGACGCTCAGTGGGACTTACGAGTAAAATTTGTGCACAATCATTTTTATCCCACTCACACTCTTTACGGAAACAATCTACATCGCAGTATCCATCGCCAAGCCATTCAGATTTACAGTCTGGTGAACACCATCCCTCGCAATCTCCGCTGTCCCGTCCACAGTCTAGCGTCGAACACTCTGTGTCACACCAACCATCTCCGAGCCAATTTGGTAAGCAAGTGGATGGACAAAGCGGATAAACTGGATTGTTGCCGTAAGTCACTTCGTCAGAGTCGTCTCCTGAGGGCTTTGTCTCAGGGGCTGAAATTGGCGATAATGACAACTAATTTATGGTGAAGGACATACCCGGTGCAAAAAGCAGTGCCGTCCACTTTAACAACAGCATCAAGAATTCCGATCTTTTCCGAAGCATCTGAAGTACTGTTGGTTGGCGCTCCTGGTGCATAGGGTGCTGCTGATATTCCATGCAAAAAACATTGATAGAAGCAATACAGAGTGCCACATTGTTTGTTTTATAAAAAGATCAATTTCCTTTGATTGCGATAAATTCTCACTTTATTCTACCACAGCTGCAAGTGTTGCTTATTTTTTTCAGATACCAGATTTGCTAAGAATTCTTATATTTGACCTTTTCGATGTATGTCTCAGAAATCAGATCTACAAACAAGTTGCAGGCTACGAAGAGCTTGAGCTGGGAATTCACTAAACAAACCGCAACATACTGAACACGGAAAAATCTTAAGAACAAGCAAACTGGCAGACATGAAACTTTGAAGCACTAAGATTATTAAAAGGGAAGAAAGTGCGGCTACACATCAACGCGCAATTTTTCCCCAATGTTGATGTGCGACACAATCTGAAAATGGAACAGTTAGTTGATTCATCCGCAACAATTAATTTATCGGCAACAGTTAATTCACCGTCACAGTGGCTATTATTTCTTACTGCTTCGAACTCTGAAAACGAGATCAATGCCGTCTCCATCTTTGTCTGTTTGCAAAATTGTTCTATCAACTAATTGTTGCAACTGCAAGACAAAAACAAACAATATTGTGGGATTTCGGTTAAGAACAATTCCAACATCATTGCATCATGAACTCATATCATCATACTTGTTGGTCATTCAAATTATTTCCAACCATCATTTTCATGACAGTAAACAATTCCCCATTTGAAATGTGACCATCTTTGTCAACATCATAGATGTCGAAAGCGAAGCGCATTTTTTGCTTATCGTCAACTCCTGCGGTTAATTTGCTGAGGAGAACGAACGTTGTCGAAAAACTGGTAACAAGCAGGCAGCCGGACTCACCAAGTCCAACTAAAAACTCAACAAAAGAAACTTTTCCATCTTGTTTGTGTCGAAGATCGAAATGACGCGTTTGACCAAGGGATTATCAGCAATTTCGGGGACATCAAAGAGCTCGTGAGGGTCGAGTTCGCCATTCTGATTTGTATCAAGAGCACGAAATCGCTTATAGATTTTCTTGATGTCACGTTCACTAAAATTTGCAGCAGCCACTAACTCCTTCTGCTCATGAGGACTTAAGGAGCCGTTGGCGTTACTGAGATGGAATCACATCATGGATGAGGACAGACAACTCAACTGACCCCATTATGGTATGAAGCTGCTCTCGTGGAAGGGGGGAAAATATAGAAACGTTTTAGCAAGCCAAGGCGTGTTTTGAGAGTAGCCTTGACGCCATTGAGCAGTTTACAGTTCCTTAGAACACCTCCAATTGATTCGTAAATAACCGGTTGAAAAGTTACAGAGCGAGAAAAGCCTTTTTGAATGGGACGCAAACAGTACAATGCCTACTTCCGCCTAAGGCGGGACCTGATCAGGGTATAATGGCCCACAAGGGCGCAGAGTGTATAAAACCGAGCAATGTCTTGGATCGAATTGATTCTTGGGTTTTTAACGAAATTGTCAAATTTTTATTAAAGAATGAAGTTTTGGAATTAGGAACGTAAGTGTATCGAAAAAAAGCTCATTCCCTCACAAGGGATACGATTTTGTTTTCCGTATATCTGCTTGTTTATCTGTTTGTTTATCTGTTTGTTTATCTTCTTGTTTATATCTTCTTGTTTATCTTCTTGTTTATATCTTCTTGTTTATATCTTCTTGTTTATCTTCTTGTTTATATCCTCTTGTTTATATCTCTTGTTTATATCTTCTTGTTTATATCTTCTTGTAGGTCGTGTTGTGCGGGGCTACGGCATTTGCATTCTTACCCTCTGCAACTTTCTTTTTGGAGTCCTCTTCTTTCTAACTATTTATCCAAGTCTAATTTTTCACTGCTAGATCTCTCAATTTCAGCCGAGAGCTTCTATGGCGTTTATGTAAGATTTTCATCCAGACAACTTCTCTATGTTACAGGTTTAGCTCCCGATAGAAATACATAACTGCTCTATACTGCTAACTATTGTATATTCGAAAAATTATCTTTATATATGTTCATCTTATCAGGGGAGCGATAATAATTGGCTTGAAGGAAACTGCTCGTTGAAGTTTCTCACATCCGCCTCTCATAAATTAGGAATTCTGGTCTTCCACCTCCATCCATTTCGAGAGGACCGTCTCCAAGACATTCCTCTTCATTTCATAGACACTTTCCGTTGCCTAAATCTGGCTCTCTGGTTGATTCGACCCTTTCTGGTAATTTTACGCCGAAATTGCGTCGAAAATCGCCTTGTGTTGAGTCTCCCCATCAACATGATCCAACTCCCAAAAGTAGAAGGGAGGGAGTTGGTTATGCGGCCCTACGTCGAGGTTTGTCCTCCATGATCACTTCTATAAGAAAATACAAACAGTCCTGTGTCTCTAACAGATCTTTTTTCTTTCAGAGTCTTTCGCGTTTCTCGTCCCAATTGAATGCGTTTTTCCAAATCCGTCTCTTGAAGTTGATGGCGGAACCCGTTCCTCAGTCGTTCTTTTTGATTCATCTTTCACTCCAGAATGGAAAAAGTCTGAATCCATCTCTAGACCACAACCAGCTCCAAATCTCTTCCATCTTCAAAGTCCACTCACTTCAACAGAATTCATTGCCTCCTCGACTTCGGATCTTGTGGGACAGTCTTCATGTCCCAATTCCCCTCTGACGACTCACCCCCCAACCAGTTCGACACCTCGTCTTCTCTCAACGGATGTCTTCGAGGCCTCCAACATCCCGTTGTGCAAGTCTTTCACTATCGTACCAACTCATTCTCAATCGTCTCCCACATCTTTTGATGAAGCTTTGTCGGTATTTTGGTCTCCTGAGATTTCTGAGGTTTTCGTTTCCCGCCCGGCATCGTCGCTTAGACGTTGTTCCAATCGTCCGACGTCCGAAGTCCCAGAGAGCTCCCGTTGAGAGATATAAAAAAATCTATTCATTTGTCTCCGAACCATCGAATTACCCGCGATGATGAAGTGCAGGAAGATTCCCATCGACCCTCTTTGACCGACGAATCCGTCAGCCGGAATAAGAAGACGGACAACTCGAAGCGGAGTGATCGTCAAAAAAATCGTCGGCGAGATGCTTTCAGTGACGAGTTTTCTGAACGTTCCTCACTCTTATCTGAATCAGAAATTCAAACAATCATG